CAAAACCAGGAGTTCTACTCGCTGAGGAATATTAATTTCCTAATTTAGACTGTATTTGAAATAAGTGATCCAGTCTTGATCATGCCAGTTTGGCAGCTGCACATAGCTCAGGGTCCGAGGGAAAGGCATTAGTTTATTTTAAGGAAAACGTTTTGAAGAACACTTTTTGCAGTGTAGCACAGAGAAGGCACATAGTGGATCTGTGGCATCTCGCTGCACTGATGGACAGTGACTGCAGTGGGGTATGGGTGGGGACTTGATAATATGGGTAAATGTAGTAACCACATTGTTTTTTCATGTGAAACCTTCATAAGAATGTGTATCAATAATACCTTAATAAAAAATTAAAAAAAAAAAAGAAGAACACTTTTTGACCACTTTCAACCATAACCAGCCTGTACTGGTCTAACCCACCAGGCAAAAAATATTTGAAAAGCTGGCAAAGAAGAAAACACCACCATGCATGTGCACACACATGCATATCCTGGGAGCAACCTGTGTGGTCGGGCTTGAGAGGAGGGAGGGGCCATCCAGTCCCCGGGGCTGCTCTCTCGCTTCCCGACATTGGAGCAGGACGCAAGCCGAGCAGAGAGCAGCAGTGTTTTGCGCCTCAGTCAAGGAGGTTGTCTTTACGGTCAACCAGGTCGGTGGGACCTGGGGGGGCAAACCCCAAAAAGGCAGGAAGCCATAGAGAAGAAGCCCCCAAATCTGCTTGCGAGCCCCCTGAACTTCCAAGTCACACACAGGGCAGCATGCCAGAGTCCCAGCTGAGCAGCCCTGTTCTGCGGGAGTTGGCACTGCGGCCCAGCTGGGGGCTTGAGCCCAGCTCCAGGCCCAGGGAGACACCTGGGCTTCTCGCTGAGACCCTGCCGGGGCCACACCTTAATGTAAGAGTCCCTCCCTGGGTGGAGGTGACCCTCCTGAATTTGTCCACATGACACAAACAACAGCGATGCAAACAAACCCAAACAGGCCTTAGAAAGATTGACAGCCTGTGGCGTGCGCCTCGCTGTCATTCATAGCATCTGACAGAAAGCACAGTCTTACCAAGTAACAGAACCAAATGGCTGGATCCCATCAGGAAAAGCAACCGGTGAAGCACTTGCCAGATAAGGACTCGGAACACCCATCATCATCATCCAAGGACATGGTGGGAAAATGGATTAAAACAGAGGAGAATCAGAAGCTATGAAAAGACTCAAGTGAACGTTCTAGAAATGAAAATGCAATATCTGGAATTAAGAATGCATTAGATTTATTTTTTGTATCATTAATGTACAATTACATGAGCAACATTATGATTACTAGACTCCTCCCATTATCAAGTCCCCCCCACATACCCCATTACAGTCACTGTCCATCAGCGTAGTAAGATGCTATAGAATCACCACTTGTCTTCTCTGTATATACTGCCTTCCCCGTGCCCCACCCCCTACATTATATGTGCTGATCGAAATGCCCCCTTTTCCCCCTTATCCCTCCCTTCCCACCCATCCTCCCCAGTCCCTTCCCCTTTGGTACCTGTGAGTCCATTCTTGGGTTCTGTGATTCTGCTGCTGCTTTGTTCCTTCAGTTTTTCTTTTGTTCTTATGCTCCATGGATGAGTGAAATCATTTGGTACTTGTCTTTCTCTGCCTGGCTTATTTCGCTGAGCATAATACCCTCTAGTTCCATCCATGTTGTTGCAAATGGTAGGATTTTTTTTCTTCTTATGGCTGAATAATATTCCATTGTGTATATGTATCACATTTTCTTTATCCGTTCATCTCCTGGTGGACACATACGTTGCTTCCATTTCTTGGCTATTGTAAATAGGGCTGCGATAAACATAGGGGTGCATCTGTCTTTTCCAAACTGGGCTGCTGCATTCTTAGGGTAAATTCCTAGGAGTGGAATTCCCGGGTCAAATGGTATTTCTATTTTGAGCTTTTTGAGGAACCTCCATACTGCTTTCCATTATGGTTGAACTATTTTACATTCCCACCAGCAGTGTAGGAGGGCTCCCCTTTCTCCGCAACCTCACCAACATTTGCTGTTGTTTGTCTTTTGTATGGTGTCCATCCTAACTGGTGTGAGATGATATTTCATTGTGGTTTTAATTTGCATTTCTCTGATGATTAGGGATGTGGAGCATCTTTTCATGTGTCTGTTGGCCATCTGAATTTCTTCTTTGGAGAAGTGTCTGTTCAGTTCCTCTGCCCATTTTTTAATTGGCTTATTTGCTTTTTGTTTGTTGAGGTACGTGAGCTCTTTATATAAATTGGATGTCAACCCCTTATTGAGTATGTCATTTACGAATATATCCTCCCATAGTGTAGGATGTCTTTTTGTTCTATTGATGGTGTCCTTTGCTATACAGAAGCTTTTCAGCTTGATATAGTCCCACTTGTTCATTTTTGCTTTTGTTTCCCTTGCCTGGGGAGATATGTTCATGAAGAAGGTGCTCATGTTTATGTCTAAGAGATTTTTGCCTGTTTTTTTCTAAGAGTTTTATGGTTTCATGACTTACACTCAGGTCTTTGATCCATTTCAAGTTTACTTTTGTGTGTGGGGTTAGACAGTGGTCCAGTTTCATTCTCTTGCATGTAGCTGTCCAGTTTTGCCAACACCAGCTGTTGAAGAGGCTGTCATTTTCCCATTGTATGTCCATGGCTCCTTTATCGTATATTAATTGACCATATATGTTTGGGTTACTATCTGGACTCTCTATTCTGTTCCACTGGTCTGTGGCTCTGTTCTTGTGCCAGTACCAGATTGTCTTGATTACTGTGGCTTTGTAGTAGAGCTTGAAGTTGGGGAGCGAGATCCCCCCCACTTTATTCTTCCTCCTCAGGATTAAGGATGCATTAGATTGTTTAAAGCAGTCTGGAAATAACATGAGAGCGGGTTAGTGGGAGGGAAGGCAGAGTGGGGAAACTACCCATGCTGAAGCTCAGAGGGAGGGAGAAGGATCGGCGTAGAGCGGGCACACGTGGAGCATGGAAGCATCTGTGTATGTGCCATGGGGGCCCCAGAAGGGCACAGGCAGAATCCAAAGGGACGATAGTTGAGCATTTTCCAGAACTGAAGAAAGACATCCATCCACTGATTTGAGAGGCTTGGTGATCCCCACACAGAGTGAAACCCAAAATAAACAGCAGCAAACACGTCTGGGCACATTGTAGTCAAAATGTTGAAAACTGAAGACAAGAAAAATCTTAAAACCTATCAGAGAGAAAAGAAAAAAGACACTTTCAGAGGGACGAGGCTGAGCCTCACTTTTCAGCAGAAACCACCGCAGGCAGTCGTCCTCGAAGTGCTGTGGGAAAGGTGCCGACTCAGAATTCTATACCCAGCAGAGGTATTCCTCACAGGTCAAGGCTGTGTGGGGACATGACCATACAAACAAAACAGTTCATTCCCAGCAGACAGGAAGCACTGGAACCCAGCCCTCAGGCTGAAGAGAAAATACCCCAGGGGGAGGGCAGCGGGAGGAAGGGGTACTGAGAACAAACCTTGGCCGTGTAAACCATTTGCAGCTTCTCGCGGGGTTTTTATCAGAAGTGGGGGTGTCATGTGGCACAGCAGAAAGCACAGGAGGGGACAGGCGAGGTTTGTGGCCTTGCATTCTTTGTGGTCACGTGAATGGTAACAAAAAATAGTAAAGTACAGCTCAGAGGCTTATGGAGAGAAAAAATGGAATGATGCTGGACTAATCTGAAAGAAAGCAGGCAAAGAGGGTGAAGAAACAAAAAACAAAGGACAGATAGGAGACAGCAGGATGCTGCGTCCGTAATCCCATTATCGCCAACAGACAAGACACTCCTGTAAAAAGAACCCTTTTTTTTTTCTCTTTGTGCTGACATACTTTATAGACAAGGACATAAAGATAAATAAAATAAACCAAGAAAACACTTACCCAAAGGCACTGATATTAACACCAAAGCTTTAAGAAGTATTATTCAGGAGGGTCATCACATAAAGGTAAGGTCAGTTCAGTAGGAAACAGAGCGATCCTACCCGTGTGTGCTCCGTTCTAGAGCCCAGGCAGTAAAAGTGGAGAGGGGACAAGCTCACAAGCAGTCAGGGATTTTCAACGCGTTTGCCCACTAACCGGTAGAGCTGCAGACTTATCAATGTGGCTGGAGAGGATTTAGGCGGTTTTTAAGCCCGCTTAACCGTGAATTCCTGGAGTAAGCCCATCTACTTCTTTTCTGTATAGTGGGATTCAGTTCGCTGTTTGTTCACGAGTTTCAGATCTGCGTTGACAGGTATTGACTTGTAACAACAATTAGCCAATTTGAAATGTACACCAAACAAATGCAGAAGATTCCAAACTCACATGGAACATTTATGTGTTTGTACAAAATAGACCAGATCAAGCTATGGCTTAGGTCTCAACAAACACCAAAGGCCTGAAATCACAGTGTGTTCTCTGACCTTAGTGAAATTAAATTAAAACCAATGACTGGAAGGTACTAGAATATCCTCCAAAACTTTGGAAATAAAGTAGCACACTTAAGTTATCCAGGAGTGAAAGAATAAATCACAATGGAAATTACAAAATATTTTCACCTGAGTGATAATGAAAACACAACCCATCAAAACTTCCAGGACGTGTGGACAGCTGAGTTAATGGAGTGCTCACCACGAAAGAAGGAAGGCTTTGATTTGGGGTCAAGAAGTGAGAAAAACAACAAAGTAAACCCAAGAAAGTAGGAGTGGAGTAAAGAGCAGAGGTCAATGAAATGGACATAAAAACAGAGGAAAGTGCTGTCAACAGAAGAGGCATTACTAATGATGTTGGAATAAGAGAATATTGTGAACAACTTTATGCCATACATTGGACAAGTTGGAGGTAAGGGGCAAATTCCTTGAAAAACATAATAAATGAACACTGGAGCCTAATGGAGGCCTGGCACATCACATGGGGATGCCCCGGGGTCAGCCAGAGGAGAACGTGGGCAAGAGCCTAGACTGTGTGCCTTGGGACAGAACTGGCGACACAGCGCAAGCAGGCTTAGGACGGGCTGGTCCAAACAGCTTAAGTGGCTCCGAAGCACGGGTGTCCCTCGTTGTCTGTGCCTGTGGGTGGGCGTGGGCTCCCCATGTGGAAGGCAGGGTTCCAGGCAGGCCATTTATTGTCTCTTGGAAGTGGCCCACCCTGGGAGGCCTCCCGCAGCAGGTCTCAGTATAGGAATATAGAGCGCAGAAGGTACATTAATCCTGGCCGAGGAGGTCTGGGAGCAGGTGGAAGGCCAACAGCAACAGGCGTCAAGACCCAAAGGGCAGGGCTGTCTGACAGTGGGCTGAGGGCAGTCTGGCACAGGCTGTGACGTGTGGGACCTCCTGGGTGGGCGGAGCCACCGTGCAGCTCAGTGGGAGGTGGTTTTTTCCGTGTGTGGTTCTGAGTGAATTGGATGTCAGCATGGAGGAAAAATGTTAATCTCAACTCCTACCTTCCACCAAGCACACAGCTTAATTTGGGATGGCTCATGAACCTACATATAAAAGGAAAAAGCTTTCTGGAAGGCCTAGGAGAGGAGCTCACGACCATGGTGGTGGACAAAAATTTCTTAAATGGCTCATAAAAAGCTAACAATGCAAGTCTGATAAAATGGACTTTATTAAAATTAATTTCTTTACTAAAAGACACCATAAAGACAACAAAAGGTGCGGTCACAGACTAGAGAAAATGTTTGCAATAAATCTCTCTTACAAAGGACTCAAATTCAGAATACCTAAAACTGAAAGAATCAAAGGGAAAGGCAGTTAGCACAAATTAGAAGACTTGAACAAGCACTTCACAGAAGGGGGTGTCCAAGCGGCCACCAGGCTGCCATTAGCCATTGTGAAATGCACGTTAAAGCCACACTGCAGCCCCTCTGTGCTCCCACCAGTGACCAGAGTGGGAGGGCTGACCGGCCGGGAAGGCGTGAAACAGCTGGGACGATGCTCACACGTGACCAGTGGAAACACACGCTAGGGCAGCTGCCTACGGAAATGGAGCTCACAAATGCCCTGTGGCCCAGACATTCCTCTCTTGTGTATGTCCACCTGGTCTGAGCACTGTCCGGCAGCAGTGTCTACGGGGTCCAGTGCGGGTCAGCCATAGGCTGGGGGTGCGGTCGGACGTACGGTGGAATCCAAGAACAAACCGCAGCTCCAGGCAGCGATGTGGTGACTCGCAGACCAGCGATCCCACGTGTACAAAGTCCTAGAACAGACGTCCGGTGCTGGAGGGCAGGCGGTCACCGCCTTCAGGGGCCTTGACCGGCAGGGGCTGCACACTTCCTTGTATGTAGGTGGTGGTTATGTGGGCAGGCACGGAGGTGAAAGTTCACTGATCTTACACTTCAGGGACGTGCATTTCACGTAAGATTAAAAACCTTTTGAAAATAATTTGGACACATCTTAACTTCACTGTGTTCTGACACAAAGTAAGTGACAGCATAAGACATTTATGAATGAAAAGACAAGGTATGGTTCACATTCGGATCCATTTCTGGAAGGCACTTGAAGTGCAGTCTTTTGGAAGTTACGATCAAAGGAAGAATGAAAATCCAGGATGGGTCTTACGCAATGAAAGGCTTGCTGCCCTTCCCGAGAAAGATGCCCTCTCCCTGCCAGCGGCCTGCCAGCCCTGCCGGCTTCCCTGGTGGTCTCTTGGTGTCCCCGATGGTCTGGAGGCAGCTTGAGCTTTCACTCGTACGGTGGATCCTTATACTGCCCAATTCTCCTGCAGCGCCGCGGAGGGTCGAGGCCGGGTGGCTGTGGCCCCGAGACCTGCACGTGGCTGGGCAGGGTGCCGCTGGGGAGGCGGCCTGGCTGAGCGGTGTTCTTGTCCATTATTTCTGCAACCTGCAGCCAGGTGTCACTGAGCGTCATAGGTTAGAGAACCTGGAGCCGGCTTCCCGAACGTTGCATCCAGGCGAAAGGGTTTAGGACAGATCAGCAGAGAACATCTGGTGGGATTTAATGATGCCTGTGCTTTTTCATTTATTTCATTGCTCCTTCACTATGTGGATTTTTAAGTCTTCAGAGTTTATGAGAATGAAATTGATATTGAAAGTCTTCTTGACTGTAAGTCACCTGCGGTGGAGGGCTTAGGTTCTTTCCCATACGAAGTTATTTTAATCATAACGGCCAATGAAAATCGCCTTCGGTAATCACAGTGCTGTTGGTTGACCGTACTGGGTGGGTGGTACTCTACTCGCCACCCGTGGTCCATGTCCCAATCCCTGGAACCTGTGGATGTGGCCCTATTTGGAAAAAAGGTCTTTGCAGATATAACTAAATGAAGGCTCTCAAGATAAGATCATCTTGGAATATCCAAGTTGGCCCTAAGTCCAGTGACAGGTGTCCATATAAGAGACAGAAGAGGAGACACAGACGGGAAGAACCTCATGAAGATGGAGGCAGAGACAGCCCGACGGCCACACGCCCAGAAGGTCTGGGGTCCCCAGGGGCAGGAAGGGGCAGGAAGGAGCCTGTGGAGGGAGTGCAGCCCTGGGACACCTCGACTTCGGACTTCCAGCCTCCCGGCCTGTGAGGGTAGATTTCTCTTGGCTGTGCCGCCCAGTTTGTGGGAACGTGTCAGGGCATGTGTCGCTCCAGGTGACTTCAGAAAGTGCATGTGAAGTGGGCCATCTGCAGCGTGCAGCGCACGGGCTCTGGGCCAGAACGTGAGCCAGGGCAGGTGGGTGGGTCCCTCACAGCCAAACTCGGGCCACTGCGTCCTGACTTGTTTTCCCAGGAGATACACACAGTTCTGCACAGAGATGAGCATTTTTTTAACATGTAGGACTGAATTGTTAAATACAGAAGCCTAAAATACGTAATTCAAAATTTTAATTTTCATGTTTATAGAAGCAAAAGAGAAACCATGAATAAATACATTCCCAAGGAAGTTGTTTTAAACGAAGCAATCTCAGAGTTGGTTTCCTGGCTCCTTTTCATCTCGGCGTGGCGGTGCGCATGCCCTCTGTTGGCGTCACGACAGGGGCAGCCGGGCGACCTTGTTGCCTGACTGAGCAGTTGGTTGGGCGGCCGAGGGCCAAAGGAGGGGGAGCACCAGGTCTTCATCCGCAGGTGCGATGGACATGGCTGGAGGCGCCTGGACCCTGTGTCCTACCTTCCTCCCCAGGCTGCGCCCCAGTTCCTTAATGCACGCTAAAAGCCCCTGAATGTCAGAGAATGCTTTACCTTCTAGGAAAGGACGCAGACCTCTGGGAGGGACATGGGGAAGCTGTTCTCAGGCTTGGTGGGGACGCGGAATCCTTTTCTAAGAACAGAAACCGAGGTGGGCACCGAGCGGGTGGGCTGCGGCGGCCAAGTGCACGGCTGCTCTTGGGGCCACAATGGCCTCGCCCTGTTCTGCCCTGAGGCCAGACCCGGGTCTACCTGGGGGTGTGTCCCAGGGCGGCCTGACTCTCTGTGAGAAGTTGGGCAATCCCAGAGGAAAGAGCCGTCGTGCACGCCAGCGTGCAATATGTCACTGGGAACCAAAGAAATCTGCTAGGCACTGGACGCCCTTCAAGGCTTCCTGAGAGAGAGGGAACAGCTTGTTGAAGGAGCGAGGAGAGACGCTCTGCTGGGAGTTTTCCCGGCTTTACCCTGCTGTGCTTCAGGAGAGGAGGCGGGGCCGAGGACCAGCTCCGTGCGCGTGCACCCAGGACCTGCTGAGTCCCAGGCCTGGTGTGCCCGCTGTCACCGCTCCGCATCATCCGGCTGATGCCATTTCCACGGTGACATGCCCATGGCTGGGGTCTGAGAGTCAGGGTAGAGTTGGGGGCCCCCGGGGCATGATCCATGGTGATGGTGGTGAGGGGTGGTCCTTGCTTCTGTGTGATGTTTGGGGTGGCCCAGGTTGGGGGACAGAGCTCGGTGGGTCACTGTGGTCATTCTTCAAGGCAGTGGACTGGTTCCCCCCGTGGAGAAGGGCCCAGGCTCCAGGTCCCTTAGTGCCTGGTGTCCCCCCGCTCTCCTGGGCCATGGGACTCTGTGGCGTTTATCTGCCTGCCTCTCAGAGGTTGGGACCCTGGCTGCATCCTGGTGCAGAATGTGGCTCCGCCCTGAGGCTGAGCTGGCCCTGGGCTGACGCCTTGGGGGCCCATGTGTTGCTCCTTAAAATGTGGAGGAGGACAGGGTGGACGACCCCACCCAAGGCAGAGGCCACTCACCGCTCTGTGCACCGCTGGGGCCGAGCTGGCCTCTCGCTCAGCTGGGCCCACCAGCCTTCAGCTGAGAGCAGCCGCTTTCCACTGGGCATCCAGGACACGAAGCCCCTGGCCTGCAGGTGTTCAGACGGGCCCCTGTCAGCCCGGGGCCAGGAGTGTGGTGGGGCACTTGCAGCCCCTTCTGGCCTGGCTGTTCTGCTTTTCTGTCACAACTCTGTGTGTGCGCATCCCTGGGAAGTGGTGCCTCTGGTGCTGGGCCAGGCCCCTGCAGCAGCCCAGGTCCCGTGGCTCATGGACCCCACGGCTTGACCCCCACAGCTCGTGGACCCCATGGCTCAGCCCCATGACTCATGGTCCCACGGCCCGCAGAGGGCAGCCTGCACAGGGGGCTGTGCCCGGGGCCACGTGCTCACTCGCTCCCCGCTGTCTTTCAGTGAACGAGTTCACGGTGATCCGGAAGAAGTTCAGGTGCCCGTACTGCAGCTTCTCGGCCATGCACCAGTGCATCCTGAAGCGCCACATGCGCTCCCACACCGGTGAGCGGCCCTACCCCTGTGAGATCTGCGGGAAGAAGTTCACGCGGCGCGAGCACATGAAGCGGCACACGCTGGTGAGCGCAGGGCCGGCAGGCACGGGGTCTGCTCTGCTGGTGCTGGGGGGATGGAGCGAGCAGCCACACGTCCCTCCTGACACCCCCCCCACTGACTGTGCAGGAGGCAGGTGGCCACAGAGCTGGGGCCCGGCCTCGGAGTTTCCTTTGGGGTCCCCTCTGGGACACCATATACTCCAGCCTGGCTTCAGCAAGTGCTTCCAACCCTGCCTGGACCCCCAGCCTCGGCCACCCTGGTGCCACCACAAGGTCACTTCCTGTGGCCCCCACCCTCCTTCCCCCGTGACCATGGGACCTGCTCCCTTGACCTGTGGGAAGTGTCTGTCACCTGTCTCTCAGCTCCAATGGTCAGGGAACAGGTAGCCAGAAATGATAGGAAGGTCATCTTGAAGCAGGACGGCGGGGGCCCTTGGGCAGGTGGGATAAGCCAGGGAGGCAGGGGTCAAGGGGTTGAGGGGTCGAGGGGTCGGACCACCAGGCTGCTTGCGATGTCAGAGGCCCCGCTGATGTGCTCATGGTGGGGTGTGGCTCCTGGGGCCCGCTTGGGGTGGCAGCTGTTGGAGCTCCTGGTGGTCTCGGGTTGTGTCCATGGGGTAGGGAGAGCGCTGGGGCTGGGTCGTGAGCCTGGCGGTTGCAGCGGTGTTGGGAATTGTCCGGGGAGTCCACAGGCTCGGTCAGCCCCCTGCCGCCCGCTGACCGGCTGGGTCAGGAGCCGGCCCTCCAGGAGGTGTGGGAGGGCAAGGCCGGCTGGGTCACCACTGTGAGCGTGGCCCCGACATGCCGTGGCATGAGGGTGGTGGTCTGGGGAGATCCTCAGGCCTGGCCCCTGACAGGGTGAGCCAGGTGAGTGAGTGTGGTCTTCGCTGTGTGTGTCTGCCCGCCAGCCAGCAGAGCCCACCACCCAGGGCCTCCGTCCACACTCAGGGGGACTCTGGGGCACTTCAGGGCCCCACCAGATGTGACCCTTGTGGGGCCTTCCAGCTGGCCTTCTCTGTCGGCCCCTGGGCAGGTTGCCCGCCCTTCCAGCAGACTGACCGGTTCCCTCCTGAAGCCCTCCGGGCACAGGCATCCTCAGGGTCCCCTGGGCAGTGTCGCTCCCAGTCAGGTCAGAAAGCCAGAGGTGATCCCGGCCCGCGGGTGTCCTGCAGCAGGTGTGGGCCCTGGCCTTCCCACTGCCCTTTGTGTCCCCTGAGAGCGTCAAGGAGGAAATACAGCCGGGGATCCCAAGAGGGCAGGAGCGGGCTGACCAGTAAACCACGGAGGCTGATTTCACCAGATGACTTCCAAAAACCGAGAGGGAAGCCCACATCCGTGCCCACCTCATGCCCATTTCACAGAGGGCCCCGCTTAGCGCCGGGGCATGGCCACAGCACCGGCTGGGCTTCTGCATCTTTCCTTTTGCCATGTTGCTGTTTCAGTGGCCTGTCGCCCAGGGTGGGCAGGACTTGCGCCCTGGTTGGGCTTCAGGGGGAGCACAAAGCCCTGGAGACTCCCTGACGCCGGGGAGGGCTGGCCGTCTCCCGAGGAGGGGATCTGCCCCTTCCCCTTTGGCGCCCCTGGGCGCCTGAGCCAGGCGGGCCGCTTCAGGGGCACTCGGCGACTGCCCGCCGGGCCCTGGGGTGCGAGCCGGCTCGTGGCCCGGTGCTTGGACGCCCCTCACGGCCCGGTGGGCTGCGCCGCCCACCGCCCAGAGCAGACCCCGACCCTCAGGGCCCCTCCGCTCACCGGCTGCCATCCCGCAGGTACACAGCAAGGACAAGAAATATGCGTGCAAGTCGTGCAGCCGCGTGTTCGTGTCGGCCGCCAGCGTGGGCATCAAGCACGGCTCTCGGCGCCATGGCGTGTGTGCCGACTGCGCGGGCCGTGGCGTGGCTGGCTCCCTGGACCACGGTGGCGCCGAGGGCTCCCCTGAGCCGTTTGCCAGCGGCGGGCCCTACCTGGAGGACCCCGACGACCCGCGCGGGGAGGGCGAGGAGTTGCTGGGTGAAGACGAGGATGACGTGGGCCTGGCCCACAGGGACGCCCTGCTGGGGGAGGACAAGGACGATGAGGACTCGCCTCCCGGGCCCCGCAGCCCCTCAGGGGCGCCCGACAAGGGCTTCGCCTGGATCTCCTAGGCCCCCAGCTGGGGGCTGGGGTGGTGGCAGTGCCGCCCCCTGTACCTGTGTGTGCGTCCTTAGGGGTCTTCATTCGCCGGGGGCGGAGCCACACTGACCCGTTGCAGGCCCTCCTCTGGGTGACCCCTTTGTTCTGCTCTCGTCACCCAGACACACACACAGAAGCTGGCCCTGTGGGCTCAAGCAGGTGTGACCCCGGCAGGCAGGGTGCTCTGGGACCGATCACAAAGTTGGAGGGGCAGGGTGGGTTTGAGCGAAGTGAGAGTTCATATTCCCACCCATCTGAGGAGACAGAGCCCCCCAAAGGTGTGTGTGGGCTGGGCATCAAGTGCCCACATGGCCCATCTGGCCTCGGGACCCATGGTAGCTCAGTGGCCGGGTCAGGGTCAGCGCTGGTTGGAGTCACAAGAGAGGTCCCTGATGTCACAGGTCCGGGAGATGTAGGAGGGCTTGGGAGCACCCGAGGCCTTTCTAGTGCCCAGTCCCCCCGCCCCTCCCAGGAGCCCGGTCACCACCTGCGGCCATGGCCGTGGCAGCCCTCACCCCACTGGCCCCACTGCCGTCCGGCGGCCTGCAGAATCCAGGTCCAGTGTACAGAAAGCCCCGCAGCCCTCCTGCCTCTGGGCTTTGGTGCTTAACACAAAACAGCTGCGCAAGTCCTACTGGGGCCGAGGGCTCCCAGGTGCTATCTTCCTGCAGAGGCAGCAGGTGGGACCGGCATGCTGTGCTTGACCCCGCAGGGCTCCCTGCCCCCATCTCAGCCCACTTGGGGTCCCCTTGGGGGGCTCGGCTCTTTGTGCACTTCCCCAGAGAGCCTGGGCCGCTGTTCCCTGGTCCTGCCTCCTGCCGCTCCCAGGCCATCCCTGCTGACCCTCTGGGCGCTTCCTTCGTTGCTGCTAACGCTGGAGGCGGTGTCTCGTGCTGCTCGCCCCCCGTGTGGGACCAGGTAGTGGCCTAAGGGTCCGAGACACAGGGAGGTGGTGTCACAGTTACTCTGCTCGGCATTATTTCTCTCTCTTCCTTTGGCTTCCTGGCAGGTCCTCTTGTCTTTTTAAAGAGCTCACAACCTGTTCTTTTTTCTGAGTGGAAAGGAAAGGCCTCGCTGTGTTGTGGACCCCCTGGGCTGCAGGACAGACCCTGTCCATCTGTTGGCATCCCTGTCACGGCTGTTTCTGAGCCTCTCTGTGTTGGAGACACCATTCTATTTTCTGCCTCCACATGCTGTAAGCCAAATGGCTTTTACCAAGTTTTTATCGTGTCAAATCTAACCTTCCTGTAAAAACAGGAAGTCCCATGAGACCCTACGTCAGGCCCAGGGTGCCGCTGCAGGGGTGGGCCCAGGCCGGCCCGTGAGGGGGTGTGGGGCACGGTGCTGTCTTCCCTGTGCAGCCGCGTCCAGTCACGGCTGCTGTTCTTACTCTCAATGCCAGACGCCCCTGATGTCAGTGGAGCTGTCAGCTGGCTGCCCGCACTCACGCCCTCAGCGGGGACCCCAAACTCAGTGCTGACATCCTTGAGGGAGAGGCCAGGACAGTCCGCCCACTCTCCCTGCTGCTGGGCGAGGCCAGTGGGGGCCTGGGCGGGCTTCCTCCCCTGCCTCTCACCTGTGCTGGCTCTGGGCTGGGGCTCCCAAAACTGTGTGCCTCCCCCGCCTTCTGACCCTTCTCTGAACAGGCCACTTAACAGATGCATTTGGAAACTGGACCTTTGCCGCCGACAGTGCTTCCGGGTCTCATCCCCCCTCCCAGGGCCGCCTCTGCCCCCACTCGCAGGAAGGACGTCTTGCTCTTTCCGACCTGCTCGCTTACCGGCTCCGGACCACCCTTGCTGACCTTTTTGGGGGTTTGATCAGTGCCACAAGGGCACTTCTTTCCTCCAAACTGATACTGTACTGGAAAACCAAGGGGCCCCCTCTGCCCACTGAGTCCCCCAAGGTCTGCTGCGTGGCAGGGTTGCTATTCTGGTGCATTTGGCTAGTGGAGTTACATGTCAGAGATGGCGATGAACACACCACCTCGGGAGGCCTGGAGGGAAGAGACGGTAATGGAAGTTTTTTTTTATGTGACTGTTTTTTTTTTTTATTCAATGTTTAAACTAATAAATATTTTTTTATGAAGAGGAAAAAACGTGTAGATTACATTTCCCATTTTGTACTTTTTCATTTGTCTGTGCATATTTTGGTGTTTGCAACACCGAAGTGGAAAATGACAGTCCACAGGGTGGTGAGTTCTCCGTGGGGGCGGCGGGTGGGGAGACCATGATTTTTCTATCAAGCTCTGGATCCTGACCAGGTTGTATATTTGGACTCTGGGTTTTGGGAAACAGTCACAACACTGCCAGGACTCAATAGGGACCTCGACTCAAAGGACACGCTGCTTCCAACTTTGCACATCTTCCTTCTTAAAAAAAAAAACAACTGAGAAATGCAAAAACTGGAACTTTTTGCGTTATGAAAGATAATCTTATTTTCGCTCATTCTGTGACATGTGCAACTCTTAAGAAAGCCATACTTAATGGTTTTGTGTTTAGATCCTATATTGTGTTTAGTATGTGGCCCTTTCAGAACTACCTGTAGTGAGGGGTGCTGTGTGTGCTTTTTTAAAATATTTATTTTTTCAACATGCTTTCAACCTGTCAACAAAAAAAACCAAACAAGGGCAGTGTTTAAGATTGTTGATTTTTTCCTGGGGATGATCTATATTACACCGACTTTATATTAATTATCATAAACCTGTGTTTGTACTGGAGATGTGGTTGATATTGGGGGGGTCTCAGTGGTTGGTCGGTGGGGAAGCTGGCTCCATCCCCGCAGCCACGGGACAGGGCGACGGCACCTTCCTCCAGCGGTCCTGCCTTGTCTGCCTGTGGGTTTCCTTTCTGTGGTGGGATTAGCTTAGACATTCTTGCAAAGCTATCAGTGTCAATAAATTGGGAAACTGCTGCTCCAGCAGATGCCTCTCGCGTGTGTTTCAGCGCCCCCTCCTCAGGCCTGGTGGGTGGAGCGGCCGGAAAGCGACCCCCAGGCCTCTGCAGCCTGTCCCAGGCCAGATGGAGGGGCCTTGTTCCATATCCTCCCCAAGAAGGCAGACACAGCTTCTGGAAAAACCCCAAATCTTTAATTTTTCTCCTTATCTGGCGTGGCCCAGACATGAGACACCTGAGCTTCAAAAACATGGTACAAAGGTCAGGCCCCAGGGCCCTTGAACCATCAGGTTAAGTGCGGGTGGAGGCCCCTCCCTGACACCCCTCAAAGTGCATTGTGGACTGGCCCATGTGGCCCTGAAGCAGGGCCCAGCGGCATCCGTGACGAGTCCACAGGCCACGGGCAGGGAGGGCGGCCATCCCTGGGGACCCTGGGCTGAGGGCACAGCGCGCGGTCTGGCTTTAGTGCAAAAGGCTGGTTTCTTCAGAGGCACTTTGAGTGGTGGGGACCCCCCAACCTCTGGGGGTCCAGGGTCATCAACTTCCCTTTCCCCTTAGGTAGCCCCTGCAGCTGCTAGAGGCCCAGGGGGAGGGGGATGTGTCCCCTGCAGCGGCTGGTGGGGGGTACAGGCATGTGCCGAGCACTCAGTCCGGGAGACGCCGGCAGGCCTTCTTCCAGCGGCAGGCAGTGCACCACAGGTCCCGGCGGTCTGTGCCATAGACTTTCCGGCATTTCCTGGCATCGCCTTGGGGCTTCCTGGGGGCACACGGTGCGCATGGGGTGCTGGGGGCCGGGAGCCCTCTATCGACACCTGTCCCCACCCTCAATGCACACACACCTCGGACTGGCACCAAGCTTGGAGGGTAGGGCTGGCGAGCAGGCCCGGAAGGTGCTGAGCTGTGGCTCCGGGTGGGCGGGCCCCAGGCAGTCCTGGGGGGAGGCACAGCTGTGGCCTTGCTCCCCTAGGGAGCGCCCAGAGACGGGCTCCCACGTCCTGCCTGTGACCTCACCCGCCTGGTAGGCATGATCACTGTGGCACACCTTGGTGGGGACTGCAGAGCCCACAACGGGGGTTGGGGGCAGGGCGGGGGCCTCAGGCAGTCCCAGGTGGGGGAAAGCAGGTGGCCCACAGGCCACAGGGGACACTGGGGTCAGGCTGGAGAGCCCCTCGGTCAGTGTCTCCACGCCAGCGTCCAGCTCCGTGTAGTAGAAGTCCTCCTCACCGTCACTCTGTTCTGGCTCCGCCTGCCTCCTGCTGGGGACACAGCAGGTGAGGCTGAAGTGCTGGCCCACCTGGCCCGTCCCCCCGCCCACTGGCCCCTCCGCACCCCAGGTGCACCAGGCGGACGTGTCTCTGCATCCCGGAGGCTGTGCTCAGCACCTTCCCGCACTGCTTCCACAGACACTGGAACAGGGCCTGCACCGAGCTCTGTGGACAGGGGCCAGTGGTCAGGGCGGCACAGCCCAGCCCACCTGCCCTGGAGGCTGCCCAGGCTCACCTTTCGCTTCCTCCGGGCAGGCTCTCCCAACAGGAAATGGGCTGCCTCAGGGGGCAGTGGGGGCGATGGGGCAGATGGAGAAGACTGCTCAGCGGCCAGGTCCCAGCCCCAGCTGCCCGGGGGCCGCACAAAGCCTTCCTTCCAGGGCTCCAGGCCAGGCTCTGCAGGGACACGCCAGCACCAGGACTTCTGGTGAACTCGAATCCCTTATCTGGGCCTCTGCCCGTTCACTCCTCACGCCTGAGTTGAGGAGCAGCCGCTGCAGCCTGGGGACTAGCCGGGCAGCCATGCGGAGATGGACAGGCCGCAGAAGCCCGCAGGCCTGGGACTGGACCTCCTTGCACTGGGGCTCCTCGAGTCTGTTCAGGCCTCAAGGGGTGTGTTTGGGAGGTTTGGGAGGTGGTGGTCTGGGAGAGGGGTGTGCTCACCCCACAGGGCAGCAGTAGGGTCCTGGAGGGGCAGTGGTCCTGGGCCCTGCCCCCAACGCAAATCCCGTGCATCTTACCCGGGCTGCAGGCTGCAGTGGGGGCCCCCAGCAGGAGGCGGCTGTTGGACAGGCTTGTGAGGGCCACAGCGGCCATGACCTCATCCAGCCGAGACTTCCCAGGGGGAGCTCTGGGGGGGAGGGGGCAGGAGCAGGTGGGGCTGGCAAGTACCGCAGGCCCTGCCCTCAGCCTGGCACACATTAGGCGTGGGCACCTGTGTGTGCACCAGCTCCCTCCCTCCCCCCAGGCGCTGGGCCTGAGACCCAGCTACACCCCCAGCTCAGGTTACAGACCCCCAAATCTCCAGGAACCACCGGGAACAGGGCCTGGGGCTGGGGTCTCCAGGAAGCCTGAGTTCTCTGCAATCTGGGTCTTGTCCCACGGTGGCTCCTTCAGGCCCTGGAGCTGGATAGGGTTCTGAGTCCCCCCCCCCACCAGGGGGCCAGCCCAGGCCAGGCCCAGCCCTCCCCCAAGTCACACATTAACTGGGGCTGTGAAACAGCAGCTGTGGGCCTGGCACCAGGTCTGGCAGGGCGGGAGCGGCCAGCAGCAGCCAGGGAAGCTGGGCTCCGGCACAGGCAAGTCTCCAGGCCAGGCCAGGGCCACTCCTGCCTGTCAGGCCAGCCCTGGCGTCCGGCACCCAGGATGTTTTCACAACAGGGCTGGGAGGGTGGCGGTCAGCCACGGAATTCCAGGACAGTCACCCCACACCCTGCACAGAGGCCGACAGTGGGTCCCTCCCAGCAGTGTGAACTAGCCCCCAAGGCTTGGGGGAACGAGGGACACCAATACCTTGACCACTTTCGCCCAACTCCCTGGGAGCTGACAAGCTGGAGCGGAAACCCAGTTTGGAACTCTGGCCTGAACCCCACGAGGCCCCCCTGTAGGGGGGGTGTCGGGAAGGCACCTGCCACGCCCCACCCACCACCCCTGCACTCACCGGCGCACCTGTGCGCAAGCCCATCTCGGCCTAGCGCGCGGGACCCTGGCTCACCTCTGCGCCGGCACCGGGATGTGCACGGACCGCGTCGGGGGCCCAGCCCACAGCCCCGGGGCCCCTAGGTCCGCGGCCCGCGGCTCCGGCTCCTGCGGCCGCGCGAACTCCGAGCCCGCAAAGCCTCCGCCTCCGCCCCCGGCAGGGCCCTGCAGACGGCACGAGCTCAGCGCAGCTGCGGCCGGCGCGGCCCCCACTCCCGCCCCGCCCCCGCCTGCGCGGCGGGAAGCGCTCCCGGCCGCCCGGCCCGCCCCCCGGCCCGCGGACGCGCGCCCACCGGCGGCCACCCCCGCCCCCGAGACCCGAAGCCGGGCAGCCCCGGCGCCATCTTGCAGCGAGGGCCTTCTGCGCCCTCCCGGGCCCGGTACCTGCAGCGGCCCGGGCACTGATACCGGCGCGGCCGCGGGGTCCCGGCCAGCGGCGCGGAGCGGGAGGCGCCCGCACCCCAGGCCGGGCGCTGGGGGGCGCGGGGCCTCCATGGCCGGCCAGCCGGGCGCTGAGGCTGCAGCGGCGAGGGCGGACGCTCAGGACGCGGCCCCCGGCCGGGCCGCGCCGGGCTGGCCGGGCCGCCGACCCGCGCCCTGGATCGGCCGCAGTCCGCGCCCCGCCGCCCGGAGGGTGCTGCCGGCCCCGCCCACCCCGCGCCGCGCGCGCGCCCCGCCCCCAACGCGCCCCCATTGGCCTGCACACCGTATCCACATTCCGAGGGGGGCCGCGGCCCGCCCCACCGCGCGCCCATTGGTCCGCCCCGCGCCTCGCCCCGCTCCCGCGCCCCCAGGAGGGGTCCGGCCTGCAGTCCTCAGCGTCCGGCGGCGCCCCCGGCTCGCCGAGCCCCGGTGCCCGCGCGTCCCCGCCAACGGGAAGGGCCGGCTTGGTCTTGGTGCGCCGGCACGCGGTGCTGCCGCCTCGGGGAAGAGGTCGAGGTCGCGCCTTCTCCGCGGGCCTCCCGGGAGCTGGTTATTCTTTAACGCGCAACTTCCCTCCGCCAGCCTTTACGTGATTCCAGGGGCTGCTGGGTGGTGGGGTCGTCCTTTGGCGTTCAGGGTCCAAGCTGCACTCTGGGGCGGCCACCCTAGGACTGGCTGCACTGCCCACCCCCCCGGGACCACTACCTCTAGCGGTAGTCTCAGTACCCCACACTGTCTCTGAGCCTGACCATCCTCGGCCAGGCACCCCAGGGGGGGAGAGGACCTGTTCCGACGCCAGAGGGGGGGTGCCTTTACCCCTTCATGACGGTTGCTCCCCCTCCAGGGCTTTGCAGAAGAGCAGACTGGGAGGCACGGCTGTGCAGGGTATTTATTAAGATACCAGCTTGGAGAGGCCACAAGGCCAAGCAGCCAGGACCCCAGGGACCCACAGGCCAGCAGCCTTGGGACCTGGACTTTGTCCTGTGACTATGTGTGGTGGTGGTGGGGCTGTAGGGGAAGTTGGGGCATTGGGTCCCACTAGGGAAAAAGGAACATCTGTACTTGGATATTCAGGGCAGGTGAGGGTTGGAGACCCCTCCCTTGGAAGCCGGGGAGCTTCAGCCCTGCATATGTCCACTCTGCTAATAGCTAGAGCTGGGGGGCCCTAGGCACTGAGGGCCCCCCATCTCCTGGATGCTCTCATACACGTTCTCCAGGAGGCCATTGTCCATGCCCAGGCCCCTGAGTGGGAGCGCCCCGTAGGCCAGGTCACTACCCGGAGCCAGGATTGATCCCCTGCCCTTCAGGTCTGACTGATCAGTGGCAGGTCCTGGGTCCCTCCTTTTGGGCTTGCTGACCCTGGAGTATAGGATGTCCACCTGGGGAGAGAGAGGCAGTCCAGGGAGGGGTCAGCACCACCCATCTTGCCAAGGATCCACCCCGCTCTATCCATCCTGCACCGCCCCTCCACTTTACCTGAATGGCTGGGGTCCCCTCAGCCTTCACCTGCTCCAGGCCTTGGGGTCCCAGATCTGTTCCCTTGAGCTTCTGGATGCAGGCATACTCAGCCACCATGGGTCTGGCCTCAGGCCCAGGCCTGGCACAGCTGCTGGTCAGCCGTGCCCCTGCCCACACTACAGGGCTGGCTGCCAGGCTGGCCCTGGTGAGTGCAGCCGGCCCCACATTGGAATAGGTGGCCTCAGGGCCAATGGAGGGCACAGCAATGGCAGTAGGCGTGGCTGGGGACAGCTCCCGGTGTGAGAAGGCTGCCACAGGCCTGGTGGAGCCTCTGGACACCTCCAACCATTGTGGACACAGGAGATCCATGCTGGCAGGCCGAGGGGCTGGGGTAGGGTCAGGAAGAGATCACTTGGGGACAGGGAGCAAGTCTGACCCTAGCACGCTGGGGAGACACAGGGCTTCCCAATGGCATCAGGGGTGTGGTGCAGCAAGCCCGCTCATGGCCCAGGCCCACCCCTCCCTGCTTCCAAACTCACCTCTGCAGCCCCTGGGACCCCCGCACAGCTCATGCAATTTGCTGTCTGACTTGCTGAGGGAGCAGACGTGGCGGTGTCTCAGCAGTGACTGGGGGCAAGGAAGGCTGGTTGGTCCCCTGCTGGCCCCGGCCTGGCCCCAGGGACAGCCTGGCACTCACCACTTCTGCTGGCATCACACTGCTCTCCAGCCTGGCCTGGTGTCTCTGTCCCTGCTTACTGGGTGCAAGAGGGTCATCAGGCCAGGGAGGCAGAGATGGGACACTGGGCCATCAGCCTCTGGTCCAAGGCCCAGTAGGGGGCACTGGCATAGAGCCAGTGCCGAGCCTCCCTGAAGCCCAGCCCCACACCAATTCCAGGCTGGAGATGGACGTACCTGTGGCAGGCTGTGCACAGTGCCCATAGACACAGGAGCAGGGCGAAGCACCCTAGGACCCAGAGGACAGGAGAGGCCCAGGGCACCTTTGGCTCCATCCTGGGAAGCCACAGACGGGCCTGGAGTCAAGAAGATAGGGGTACTGGGTGTTGACTGAGGGGCTGGGCACTCACCGACAGCCCCACTTCTGCACCATGTGCTGCTGGGAGGTCTCCTGTCCTTGGGTACTCCGACTCAGCATATGGGAAGAAGCCCCAGGGCACTGCAGGCCCTCCCTCCTATGGAGGCCTCAGCGCCCACTTTCCTGCCTGGGGGCTCCTGGCCAGGTGTGAGGAGGTGTGCTCTGCTGGCCCCATGAGTAGCTGGAGCCTCCGAGAATGGCCCAGGTGACGGCAGAGCATGGCGCCAGTGAGAGGTATGATCTGGCCGAGACCCTCCTGTGGTCACCGCAGCCCAAACCAGAGTCCCGGGGATGCCCCTGTGGTCACACCCTGGGCCTGAGCCACAGGCCACAGACCTCACCTGTAGCCACACCATGGCCAGGCATGCCCCCTAGTCATCTCCTACAGAGCTTAGCCCCTGAGGGGCTGGAAAGGCAGGGGTCAGCAGGCAAGAGGGTGCTGCTTGGGGCCCTGACTGCCCCCACCCTACACCCCCTGGCCCTCCACGCCACCCCCCACTGCCTATGCCATTGGATCTGCCTCCCTGGGCCTTAGCAGAGGTACAGGGGGGTCCACCCTGCAATTGGGACAGCCTTTTAGCCCAGCAGAGACCACAGGTAAAGTGTCCCAGGAGGGGCCAGTCTTCCCAGACCCAGGCAGTGGCCCTGGCTTGCTAACCTGGTCACAGCTCAGGTTCATGCCCTGAAACTGGTAGGGCCTAGTCCTCCCAGCCCTTGGCTGTCCCCTGGAGGGCATCGCAGGGTCTGAGGGCCTGGCTAGGCCAGAGCAGGCACTTACCGAGGCCTGGCGAGGCGGCTCCTCCGTGCCGTGTGAGGCAGGCCAGGGCTGTCTTGCACCCCACCCCCACTTCCTGCCTTTGAGTCCTGCCCCATCTCCCCACAGACACTCAGCCCTTGCTGCAGCTGCTCCTTTGCAGCCATCACCGCAGGCGACCTCGCCCACTCGCTGCAGCCTCATCTGGGGTCTAGACTTTCTTGGTAGGCGTGTGCTGTGAACCAGCACTGCTCCAGAGAGCCTAGCTCACGTCTCCACCCACGCGAGGTGGGCGCTTGCCAGCAAGATGGCATTGGAACTGGGCCGTCTTGACTCTGGGCTCCCAAACCCACCTGGCCAGGTGTTCCCACCCGGTTAGCAGGGTCCCTGAGGGCCCCTCATGGCCAGTCTCCTCCCACCACCCCAGCATCGAGCCCCACCCATGTGGAGGTGTGGGGCAACATGGGGGCACCCCAGGCTCTGACCCTCCTCAGCGCTGCTGGCAGAACCCCGGCAAGGAGGGCAGGAATGCCAGTCTTCCTGGGCCCTCTGCTGGCAGGCCTCACAGCCCTGCAGAGACCCCTTTCCCCAAAGACCCCCCAGTCAGCTGAGCCTCCACGGAAAGACACAGCCACACAATCACTTTAATGTCCTTGCTAAGGAGACTGGCAGGTGGGGTCAAAGGGCAAGTGAGCGTCCAGAAATGACTCCTGTGGTCCCGTCTCCCCTGGGCAGCGTCCGCATGCCCCAGGCTGGCAAGGCTGGCTGGGGGAGAGGCTGGGAGCAGGGCGGTCTGTCTCTCAGGGCATCTGGTGTGGACAGCTGGTCCTCCTGACGCAGCTGGGAGCCGGTGTCCCTGAGCTGCACGGATGGCACGTGCGAGGGCTCTAGAACTCGGTCATCTTCTTGTGGGTGTCTGCTTGCCTCTGCTGGAGCTGCAGGCCCGCCTCCTGGGCCCGGAGCTGCCCTAACTGCCGCTGGGCTCCTGCCAGCTTCTCCTGAAGTTGGGCCGCCGTCACGCTGTGCCTGGAGAGGAGCTGCAGTTCAGCACGGGCTGCCCAGCGGCCACCTCAAAGCCCCCGAGCTGCCGCTGCCCATCACCCTCCAGTCCTCTAGACCCTCCTCAGACCCAGCGCCCCACCCTTGGGTCCGGGCGCCTGCAGCAGGACCACATGCAAGGCCTCCCCGGATCCCGCCCTCACCCTGAGTGCGGCCCCACACGTACCGACCAGTGTTGCGGGCGAGGGCCTCCTGGATGCCCCGGATGTCCCGCTGGGTCTGCTCGATCTTCTCCTCGGTCTGGAAGAGCCGCAGGCTCAGCGCCCGCTTGGCACTCTTGCTGGCGTGGTATGTTTCCTTGCCGCCCCCCCTCCCTGGGGGGGCTGCCCCGGCCTCCAGGGCCCCAGGCGCCTGGCCTCGCAGCTTCTCATTCAGAAAGTCGAACACACTATGAGGGGGTGGGCGGCCTGCAGGACGGCTCCCTTGGCCCCGGCACTTTGGGGGCCTGTGGGCACCAGCCTTGCCAGCCGCGGTCCTCTTCTGCAGGACCTCAGCGCAATGGTCCAGCGACTTGCCTCGGGGCAGCACCACAGCATGGATGGGCTCCACCCGGCCCTCGGCGTGTCGGCCCAGACCTGAAGGCACACAGGGCTGGGGCTGCCTCTGCTGGACCCCGGGCTGTGGCAGCCCCTCCCCGCCTCAGAGCGGCACACTCACCCTTGCCAAACTGGTAGCCCATCTTGGCGAGGAGTCTGGAGCCGATGCCCCGTGTGTGAGCCTCCCAGCCAGCGAAGGCAGAGCTGCACGTCCCATGCGCAGCAGGGCCGGGCTCCACCACTGCAGGGAACAGGGCAGTGGCTTGGCCTGGCTGCACATGGAGCACCCTGGGCTCTGGCCAGCACCAGCCCAAGAGCTCAGCCCTGGGCTAGGGCCGTAACACCCACCTCAGGCTCTCTGTGGGTTGCCAGGCCCGTGTGGCATGTGGCAATCTGGTCCAGTCCTCCCCACACTTCAGGGCTGCAACTTTGGTGCATAGTGCCCCTACCCTGGCCTGCCTTCCCAGGCAGCGGGCAGCCCCACCCCTCGTGGAGAGCAGTCACTGTCACTTGCTCTCGGCTCAGTGCTACCGTCTATCACCACAGACCTGGGGCTTCAGAAGACCGATTCCCAGGACATCTCCTGGGGCCCCCTGGAAGGCCAGATGCTGCCAGCCGGTTCTTCCTCCCGAACCTTTCCCACCCTTGGCTGTGTGGATACAGCCCTTCCTCTCTCTGCCAGGCACCACTGGAAGGAGCTGCCCATTCCTACAGCCCATGCCCTCCACCCTACCCCTTCCTGTGTGTAGCCTTCCCTGGCAGCTCCTGCACCAGCAGCATGGCCACGGTCCCAGTGGGCAATGTGTGGATCGTACCTACTGCACACGTGCTCCCTAAAGATCGGGGCTGGGTCTCTGCACTGCCCCGGACCCTTCATGTGCTCTCGTCTCCCCACTGCGGGGGTCTTCACACTTCCCTACATGACCAGTGCCCCTTTTGCTGTGCGCCGTGTGCTGAGCACAGCACACCTCTGCAGCCACACTCTCCGACCGTGTGGTCAGGTGCTGGGGACCCACCAGCTGGAAGCCTCTCTGCAAGCCCACTGCCAATACTGGCTCCCCCTTCCTGGCTTCTGGGACCCTGAGCCACCACACCTCGAGCATAGCTGGGGTCATCCGCATCACTGCCCTCTGAGTCAGAGGATCCCGTGGGCTCCGTGCGCAGTGGGGGCAGTATGCCGTCCCCCTCCACCACAGCCTCCTTCAGCAGCAGCGAGTCAAACTTGATTGTGTAGTAGCCGCCGTCCACATCTGCAGGCGGGGAACAAAGTTGGGCCAGGTCGTAGCTGCACTGGAGTTGGGAGCAAGGTAAGACCAAGAGCAGCCGCCCCAGCCAAAGGAGTGGCACATGGGGACACCACCCATGGGGTGTGAGGAGGGCTTCCCAGGAAGGGCCCCTGGCAGCCTCACCAGTGATCCGCGCTGGGTACCAAAGGCCATCCTGCTGCTTGGCCAGACATGCAGAGCCAACCTGCAAGGAGCTCAGGTCTGGGTCCTGGAAAGGGCGCAGCTCGTCCACAGAGACCACCTGCCCATGGGAGAACCTGCAGAGAGGGCTCGGATGTGGCCACCAGGGGTAAGGGAACCTTGGAGAAGGAAGGCCACCTGCCTGGGCGTTGCCCTGCAGGGAGGCAGAGAGGAGGGGACACACGCACGCAGACACACACACACACACGTGTGCACACCGGCACAGGCTCTCGAGCTCAGGAAGCATCTGGCGACTCCAAGGACAAGATGCCTCGTGGTGGCTCCCCAGCTTTGTGGGCTAGAGAACCATGTGGCCGGCAAACAGCCCCGTGTTTAAAGCTCCCCACTGCCTGTCCACCAGACACAGGGCCTGGACCCTAACAGGGGATCAAGGCTGCTGTGTGTCACTCAGGAGCGAGTCCTCCCAAGGCCAAGAGGAGAGGCGAGCTGCCACATTGGTGCCTTGACCTCGGGCATCGGTGAGCCGGTGAGACTGAAACCAACACAGGAGGGTGGGGGAAGGAGGAGGAAACGGGGGACACAGGACTGCACGACTTTGCCAAATAAAGACATGAGAAATCTAACCACATGTCTACTTCTGTGCCATCATTTCAGAGAGGAACTGTTTCAACCCCACAGGAGCAACTGAGGACGGGCGTCAGCTCCATCCACCACACAGAGCCGGCCCGGCTGCAGATGTTCTTCTAGGCGGGAATCAATGGTGAAAAGGAGGAATGGAAAACAGAAGGGTTTCAGGCACTGCTGTGGGTGGACGAAGGTGCCGCAGATGCCTCCTCCTGCAGGGCTCTGGGCAGTTCCTTCTCACACCTGATCGTCCTCGGGCACCCGGGGCGCTGCCCGTGACCAAATGGCACCAGAGCTGCAAGACTGGGCCTCCAACTGGAGACTGGTTGAAAAGCCCTGTTCAGCTGACCAGCAAAACAGCTTTCAAAGGGGAGTTCTGAGCTACGGAGGGGTCACACGCACACCGGTCAGACCTTCCTGCGTGGATCCTGGGCAGCATTAGAAACCTTAAAATGTGGTGTACTCCTTAAACCCAGCAAGAGCTTAAGAAATGACTCTGAAAGCATGATAATGATGGTATACAAAGACTTAGCCAAAAGAATGTTAACCGAATCCAAAAGACTTGTTGGAAATAGCCTAGATTTCCAACCATGGGGAAACGGCACAGCCATAGAATGAATTCAAAACTAAGAATTTAGAACTGATCGGCAGAGTGAGAGCGCCCAGGAGGAGCCCCGCGCGCAGACCTCACACGACAGGGAGAGTGTTACCAATGGGTCAGGAAAAGATGGACTCCAGATTTCACACAGAAAATGCTAAAAACTATTTCCCATTAAAAACAAACAAAAAAACTCGATCATCTACCTGCCTCACAGCATTCATGGAAATATACTCCAGAACGTAAAAGCTTGGAAGCTAAAAACAAGCACTTACAACTTGAAGCAGGTTCTGAACTCTACTTTCTCCTTCAAGTAATGAGTTTGTCAGACCCTCTCTACAGAAAAACAAGACTTCAGCTGGGCAGGACCGTTGGGACTCACAGCCTCAGAGCTCAGGAAATGGACCGACGGAGGCGACACCGGGAAGGGAGTGTTCTGGAAAACTGCCCGGTGTGGGGACTGAACTGGGAGTGGGGTTGGGGGGGTTATCTGCAGCCTGTCCGCCCCTGGGCTTGGCTGCACACGCAGCTGAAGCAGAGCGGAGCGGGGAGGTGTGGCGGGGGGGAGACCCGGGGCCTTGGGGGGACGGAGAAAACCGGCAGTGCTGAGGGCCGTGGTCGCGCCCCGCTGGAGCGGGCGCTGGGCCAGCCAGAGGCTCAGCAGGGAGACCCCAAGAATGGAAAAGCCGTGGAGAGGCTGTGCCTCTGTGCATCTCTGCCTGGTTAGGAAACTGCCCCACGTATCAGGAGCTCCCAGGAAAGAGCCAAAAGAAACTGGGGGCCCGCTGAACTCGCAGTGCGCCCCAACCCACGTGGACCGGCTGCCACCACGCCCAGCTGACTCCCGAGCAGCCAGGATAAAAAGTAAAAGTGAATTTTAAAATTGGAGTAAGACAGCAGAAGCTGTACACTTTGGAGGAAACAGACTTTGTAATTTAGGTCCAGAAAACATACTAAAATAAAACACTCAAGAACACCATTCAGGAGCCAGAGGTGATGTATCACCCGAAACGTCCAGCTTTCAATAAAAACCTGCAAGACATGCAAATAAACAGGAAGGTGTGACCCACACATAGGAAAAAAGGCAGCTGACAGGATCTAAGTTGGCCCAGAAGTTGAATCTAGTAAAGATTTTGAAGATAGTGTAAGTATGTGCAAAGAATTAAACGAAAATTTGACAATGATTCAAGAAATAGGGAATCTTAAAAGATGAGTGGAAATCACACAAAAAGAATCAAATGGAAAATCCAGAGTTGGAAAGTGTGTAACTGAAATGAACCGTTCACTAGATGGGACACTTCTGGTCTCTGCTTTGGTATGTAAGAAGCTGGGAAGAGAATCAGCAACTCTTCTTAGATCCGTAAGGGAAGTGAGACCACAGGACAAGTCATCAGCCCCAAACTGGAAGGGACAACAGGCCCCTAGAGAGGATCACGCCCGACCCGAGCGGCGGCCCAGCAGCCTGCAGAGGGAATGCAGACCTCGCCGACGGCCGCTGAGGCTGGGCGTGGGCCAGTCTGACCTGCAAGGCAGCCCGGTCACAGGCAGGGGCCCCCACACTCTTCTGTTTTACTCTGGTGACTGTGCCAGGCTCTCACGGTGAATACCAAAACATCCCCTCACGCTCTGGCAGAGGAAGCCACAGCTCTCTGTTCTTCCTGACAAGGCCTGTCCTCAGGGAAAACTAGTTAACAAGAGCCTAACCTTATGGTTGTTTTTTTTTTCAACCTGATGGGGTTTTATCAGAGCCTACTGAATTGGGGGTTAGGGAAACACCCGAATCCAGCCCACTCTAGCTGTCCAGCCCCACCTAAGTGGGGGGTGTGCATGTGTGTATGACTGAGAAGCACACACGAACTTCACAGTCCAGAGGCGTAAGTTCACTGAAAGACTGAGATCTGATCATAGAACTAGAATGCCCCCCTCCCTCTCAGTTGACCACCACATTACTAAAGCTGGCATAAGGAAGGAAATAATAAAGATTAAAGTGGAAATAAATTAAATAGAAAAGAAAAAAATAGATAATCAAGAACTAAAAAAAAGAAAAGAAAACTCACAAATCTTTAGCTAGAGAGAAAAAGAGAAGACTCAAATTACTAAAACCAGGAAAGAAAGTGGGGACATCACTACTGACCTTACAGAAATAAAGAAAACGATGAGAGAATAGTATGAACAATTACATGCCAACAAAGGTGATCTAGATGAAAATGACAAACTCTTAGAAACACCTAAATTACCAAAATTGACTCAAGGAGAAACAGAACATCTGAATAGACCTATAAGAAATCAATAAACTCAGTCATAAATCAAAAACTTCCAACAACAAAAAGGGCGAGGACCAGATGGCCTCACTGAGGAATCCTATCAAACATTTAATGAAGAATTAATACATATCTTTTTCAAAGTTATCCCCCTAAATAGAGAACACTTCCTAACTCAGTCTATAAGGCCAGTTTTACCCTGAAACTAAAGACAGACAAAGATCAGAAGAAATCAGAAGAAAAGGAAACAGACCACTAGCCCTTACTGGGGATCGGACAGACGCAAACACCCTCAACAAGAAACTAGCAGACCGCGTCTAGCGGCACATTGAAAGGGTCACACACCATGACTAGGTGTGATCGAGCCCGGGACTCTGTAAGGGCAGATCAGCATATGAAAATCACTCAATGCACTACAGCACATTGATAAAATGAAGGGAAAAAATATATGATCATGTCATCTGATACAGAAAAGGCATTTGAAAAAAATCCAACAGTTCTTTTGTAATAAAAAATACCCAACATACTGGAATAGAAGACTGCTTCCTCAACCTGATGAAGAGCGTCTACGGAAAATCCAGTGAACATCATACTTAATGGTTCCCTGACATCAGAAACAAGGCAAGGATGCTGCTCTTGGCACTTTTATTCAACACTACTCGAAGTTCAAGAGCAATTAAGCAAGCAAAAGAAATAAAAGCCAACCAAATGGGAAAGAAAGAAGCAAAATTACCTTTGCTGATGACATGACTGTATATTCAGACCTTCCCCACCATCTGGAGGCAGAGTGTTCCCACAAAACCTGTGAGATGCACAGGCATCAAGGAAAGAGCCCGTTACCATTAATTTATGTGGAAAAATGTTTGAGCATTACCAGACCCAAAAAATCACCTCTCTAGGACACCATCAATAGAACAAAAAGGTACCCTACAGTATGGGAGAATATATTCATAAATGACAGATCTGATAAAGGGTTGACATCCAAATATATAAAGAGCTCACGCACCTCAACAAACAAAAAGCAAATAATCCAATTAAAAAATGGGCAGAGGAGCTGAACAGATACTTCTCCAAAGAAGAAATTCAGATGGCCAACAGACACATGAAAAGATGCTCCACATCCCTAATCATCAGAAAAATGCAAATTAAAACCACAATGAGATATCACCTCACACCAGTCAGGATGGCCACCATCCAAAAGACGAATGACAAATGTTGGTGAGGTTGTGGAGAAAGGGGAACCCTCCTGCACTGCTGGTGGGAATGTAAATTAGTTCAACCATTGTGGAAAGCAGTATGGAGGTTCCTCAAAAAGCTCAAAATAGACTTACCATTTGACCCAGGAATTCCACTTTTAGGAATTTATCCTAAGAATGCAGCAACCCAGTTTGAAAAGACAGATGCACCCCTATGTTTATTGCAGCACAATTTATTTACAGTAGCCAAGAAATGGAAGCAACCTAAGTGTCCATCAGGAGATGAATGGATAAAGAAGATGTGGTACATATACACAATGGAATATTATTCAGCCATAAGAAAGAAACAAATCCTACCATTTGCAGCAACGTGGATGGAGCTAGAGGGTATTATGCTCAGTGAAATAAGCCAGGCGGAGAGAGACAAGTACCACATG